GGGGGGGGGGGGGGGACCGAAAAATGGCACAATCAGAGCATGTATGTCACAACTAAGGCCTTGAACACTTCTTGGCTCGACTCGTCGGCTGCTGGTAGACTTGGCACGGAAAATTGTCCTGGAGAGGGAGATAAGACAGACACAGCCATTCGCATGCTTGCGGTGCGTCGCCTGTGCGTTACCTCCTGAGTTTCTCCGGATGTAATAATTGGCCTTCATCCTTCTCCCGCCGTGGTGGACGGGGCCACGGACTCCTGGATCGAAGCCGCCGATGACGTGGCAGGCAGTGTGGTGGGCGGCCCCTGTGGTGTGGGGCTCTCCAGTTGACCAGTGGCAGTGGCTGCCTGCGGCTGGGGGCCTTCTGACTCGGGCTGCTCCTCGGTGGGGGCGTCGACCGATCCGGCCGCTTCCGATGCACTGCTGGCGGATGGGCCGCCCTGCCCTTGGCCCTGGTCGTCGGCGCCGTTGCCGCCTGCGGGTGCAGGTGCAGGTGCAGCGACGTTGGCATCCTGCTGAGGCCATATCACTGAGTGAGACACGCCATAGACAGCAGCACAGAGGAAGACTTCCTTCCTTGAGGGTGGCTGTAAGGTCGGCCTGACTGACCAAATCTGGGTCGGATCGTGTTGATCTGAATGGCGTTGAATCTGCGTCTCATGTCGGTGGGATGATCGGGGTCCTGACAGACAGAAAGAGACAGACAGAGACAGAGAGCGGCATCCTTGCCGCACCTGTCCGTTAGGTGTGACTCACTCACTGACCCAAGCGATTAGGTACTTCCCGTGGAGGAGGGGTTTATCTCCTCCATCAACGAAGAATTTGAAACTATACTCGGCGATGCGACGAGGCACCGCATGCACAAAGTACCTGAATGAATGAACGAGAGACAGACAAACAGACAGAGTGCACTGTCTATGTGTTTGCTGTGTGTGGTGTGGTTGCCTACTTTCGGATGCGGCACCATTTCATCCTCACTGGGTCTTGCCACGGCGTGGCGGACCTTGCTGCGTCAACCTCCTCCGGTGGTGTGTCTTTTCCCAGATGGAGGTCAACGGTCCTCACGCTGATGTCGACGGTCTCCCCCTCCTGGTCCCACACAAACACGACCTCGCCCTCCTCTTTCTTCTTTAGCTGCCGAGCAATATGCCCCCGCCACAGTCGCTGGATATCGGTGGCCCCAATGTCGCGAAAGATCATGATCCCTTTGATCTGCCACCATCGGTCCACGGCAGCCACAAACAGGTGAGGGGGTGCCATCGACGTGTGTGTGTGTGTGTCGGGTGCTGGCTGACCGACCTCGATTTCTTTTTGCCGCCATCTCACGGCTAGGACGCGACGCCGGCAGGATTGGATGAATGCCTGCGGGCGGGAAAAGGTCAACAAGGGGGTTTCTTCATGTGTGTGTGGACGAGGCAGGCCCAGCCACCACCCGCTCACCGCCTTGTCGTTTCTGCGTTTCTGTATGTTCTTGGTCTCCCTTTCGGATTTTGCCGCTTGTCGCCCTTTGCAGCCTTCATTTCGCAGACAGACAGACACACACAAACAGACGTGGCGGTGCGGTCGCGGCTGTCTGTCTGTCTGGCTGACCTCTGTAGAAGCTCTGTATCTTGAGTGCCTTTGGCGTCACGGCAGCCTGATAGGTGAGATAGGCTTTGTGGAAGCGCTTTATTCTGCGGCTGAACCAGCCTCTGGCGCAACGCTGAATTGTGACCTGCACGGACCACCCAACAAACAAACACAGCAAACACACGGCCGCCCCCTTGAAGAGCCATTTGTCTCGCCCCGTCTCCCTCCACTACTCACCGCAGCCAGGTCCATCACCACCGCCCTCATGAGGCGGGATTTGCAACCGACACGCGGCGGCCCCGTGGTGGTGGATGCTGCTGCTGCTGCTGCTGTGGTGCTGGTAGTGGCGGTTGTTGATGCCGTGCGCTCTGAGCCTGGGGATCGGCCGTCGGAAGGGTCGGAGTGGCCGACATGCTCCTGGTCGGACTGGCGGACCTGGTTTCTGTCAAGGGGATGAGCCAGCCCCCGTAGGGAGCCCCTGCATGATAAAGCGCGGACGGATGGGCGGAGACACAGACCAGGGGAGACAGAGGCAGATGGATTGATGGGTCGTTCGGTGGCCGCCTCTTCCTTTCAGACCTGACGAAGTGTTTCAGGCAGTCCACAAACGCCGGAATGTCCTCCGGCGGAACCTGCAGCCGAAAGGCCTGCGAGACACAACACACACAGATGCAGGAGGTAGGTCGGTGGGGTCGGGTATGGCGCGTCATGGACACGCTCCGAAGACAGGGCTGCTCAGCTCACCGTCGTGGCCGTCGCAGTGCTGCCTACTTCCACCCTGACACCATCACAAGGGCACAAGGAAACGACGAAATGCCTCACGCACTCCCCCACCGCCCAGGCATACCACCCACTCC